TTACTCAAACTCTTCCAGAAAATTGCAGAAGAAGGTAAACTTCCAAACTCATTCTATGAGGCCACTATCACCCTAATTCCAAAACCAGACAAGGATGCCACAAAAAAGAAAACTACAGGCCAATAGCACTGATGAACATAGATGCAAAAATCTTTAACAAAATTCTAGCAAACAGAATCCAACAACATATTAAAAAAAAATCATACATCATGACCAAGTGGGCTTATTCCCAGGAATGCAAGGATTCTTTAATATCTGCAAATCAATCAATGTAATACACCACATTAACAAATTGAAAGATAAAACCATATGATTATCTCAATAGATGCAGAGAAGGCCTTTGACAAAATTCAACATCCATTTATGATTAAAACTCTCCAGAAAGCAGGAATAGAAGGAACATACCTCAACATAATAAAAGCTATATATGGCAAACCCACAGCAAGCATTACCCTCAATGGTGAAAAATTGAAAGCATTTCCCCTAAAATCAGGAACAAGACAAGGGTGCCCACTCTCACCACTACTATTCAACATAGTTTTGGAAGTTTTGGCCACAGGAATCAGAGCAGAAAAAGAAATAAAAGGAATCCAGATAGAAAATGAAACTCTCTCTGTTTTCAGATAGCATAATCCTCTACATAGAAAACCCTAAAGACTCTACCAGAAAATTACTAGAGCTAATCAATGAATATAGTAAAGTTGCAGGATATAAAATTAACACACAGAAATCCCTTGCACTCCTATACACTAACAATGAGAAAACAGAAAGAGAAATTAAGGAAACAATACTATTCACCATTGCAACAAAAAGAATAAAATACTTAGGAGTATATCTACCTAAAGAAACGAAAGACCTATACATAGAAAACTATAAAACACTGATGAAAGAAATCAAAGAGGACACAAACAGATGGAGAAATATACCATGTTCATGGATTGGAAGAATCAATATTGTCAAAATGACTATACTACCAAAAGCAATCTATAGATTCAATGCAATCCCTATCAATCTACCAACAGTATTCTTCACAGAACTAGGACAAATAATTTCACAATTTGTATGGAAGTACCAAAAACCTCAAATAGCCAAAGCAATCTTGAGAAAGAAGAATGGAACTGGAGGAATCAACCTGCCTGACTTCAGACTATACTACAAAGCCACAGTCATCAAGACAGTATGGTACTGGCACAAAGACAGAAGCATAGATAAATGGAACAAAATACAAAGCCCAGAGACAAATCCACATACCTATGGACACCTTATCTTCGACAAATGAGGCAAGAATATACAATGGAGAAAAGACAATCTCTTTAACAAGTGGTGCTGGGAAAACTGGTCAAGCACTTGTAAAAGAATGAAACTAGAACACTTTCTAACACCATACACAAAAATAAACTCAAAATGGATTAAAGATCTAAATGTAAGACTAGAAACTATAAAACTCATAGAGGAGAACATAGGCAAAATGCTCTCCAACATAAATCACAGCAGGATCCTCTATAACCCACCTCCAAAAATATTGGAAATAAGAGCAAAAATAAACAAATGGGACCGAATGAAACTTAAAAGCTTTTGCACAACAAAGGAAACTATAAGCAAGGTGAAAAGACAACCTTCAAAATGGAAGAAAATAATAGCAAACAAAGCAACAGACAAGGGATTAACCTAAAAATTATACAAGCAACTCCTCCAGCTCAACTCCAGAAAAAAAATGACCCAATCAAAAAATGGGCCAAAGAACTAAACAGACATTTCTCGAAAGAAGACATACAGATGGCTAACAAACACATGAAAAGGTGCTCAACATCACTCATTGTCAGAGAAATGCAAATCAAAACCACAATGAGGTACCATTACACACCAGTCAGGATGGCTGCTATCCAAAAGTCTACAAGCAATAAATGCTGGAGAGGGTGTGGAGAAAAGGGAACCCTCTTACACTCTTGGTGGGAATGCAAATTAGTACAGCCACTATGGAAAACAGTGTGGAGATTTCTTAAAAAACTGGAAATAAAACTGCCATATGACCCAGCAATCCCACTGCTGGGCATACACACCGATGAAACCAGATCTGAAAGAGACACGTGCACCCCAATGTTCATCGCAGCACTGTTTATAATAGCCAGGACATGGAAGCAACCTAGATGCCCATCAGCAGATGAATGGATAAGGAAGCTGTGGTACATATACACTATGGAATATTACTCAGCCATTAAAAAGAATTCATTTGAATCAGTTCTAATGAGATGGATGAAACTGGAGCCCAATATACAGAGTGAAGTAAGCCAGAAAGATAAAGACCAATACAGTATACTAAAGCATATATATGGAATTTAGAAAGATGGTAATGATAACCCTATATGCAAAATAGAAAAAGAGACACAGATGTACAGAACACAATTTTAGACTCTGTGGGAGAGGGCGAGGGTGGGATGTTTTGAGAGAACAGCATTGAAACATGTATAGTATCAAGGGTGAAACAGATCACCAGCCCAGGTTGGATGCATGAGACAATTGCTTGGGCCTGGTGCACTGGGAAGACCCAGAGGGATGGGATGGGGAGGGAGGTGGGAGGGGGTTTCGGGATGGAGAATACATGTAAATCCATGGCTCATTCATGTCAATGTATGGCAAAACCACTACAATATTGTAAAGTAATTAGCCTCCAACCAATAAAAATAAATGGGGGAAAAAAAAAAGAATACTGGCGTGGGTTGCCATGACCTCCTCCAGGGGATCTTCCCAACTCAGGGATTGAACCCATATCTCTTGCATTGCAGGTGGATTCTTTACTGTCTGAGCCACCAAGGAAGCCCAAGAATACTGGAGTGGGTAGCCTATCCCTTCTCCGGGGGAATCTTTCCCACCTAGGAATTTAACAGGGGTCTCCTGCATTGCAGGCAGATTCTTTACCAGCTGATCTACCAGGGAAGCCCCTGATTTTCTTATAGACTTAATTTATTAAAAGCAAAGATATATTGAATCAGAACAGCCCAAAGTAAATTTTCATGGAATGTTGGATTAGAATTCTATCTAATAGCATTTTACTGAAGCAATAATGTCTAAAAGCAATAAAATATCCTTTTGTCTATATGTCTATAAAATGTTCATAAATATTTAAAGATACTCAAACTATTTTATAAAGGAAAATAAATAACCTTTACCGAAGTGTTGATAACTTTTAGTAAGATTAATATGTTACCTGGAATGACAGTTAATGAAATTCTCAGTGACATTAATTATTTTCATTTTTATGAAGAACAGAGAGGAACTTTTTCTATGCTTCAGGGATGTACATTCCCTGAAGGAAATGATTAGGCTGTGAAAACAGACACAAATTTCTTGCCTGCAGAGCTTATCATGATGGGAAAGTCTTAAGGGACACTTACCCCTGGATTTCTAATCAGGTATAAAAAAAAATACAAGCCTTAAGCAAATGCCATGAAATCTACACCATGGTGGTGGAGCTGCCAAGTCTGTAGTTTCCCTTTACAGTCTCCTAAAAGATTCATAGGTACAACTTTAACCTGAACCTTAGACTAACTCCTGTAACGTTCAGACTGTCATATCAGTGCTCTGACTCTTTTGCCAACACGGAGAAGATTCTGTGACTGCATCTGCTCAGTGTCAATATCTCCAAAGCCAGTTCTTCCAGAAGAGTGGAGGTGAAACACATGTGAAGTTCCCTTGACACTGAGTTCCCTCAATGGAAGGAATGTGAGTTAACCAGGTTTCTTTTTCTCTCGTCGCTAAAAAATGAGGAAAAGCATTTCTACTGAATAACAAGAAGCTCCAAGGTCTGGATCTCCAGCATGACTGCTTGTATTGTTCTGAGCATATCCTCTGTGTTAGCCTTGTCCTCCCTCTGGTAGCAGGGGAACTATAGCAGTTCCAAGTGGCAAATCTAGAACATAGCAATATCAGAAGAAGAAAATATTTGTTTTTCTCCTAAAATTCTTTTGTTGAAATGTATGTATTATACAACTTTACATGTCATTATAAGAATACAGCTTGGTATGCTTTCACTAATTTAACAGCTAATTTAATTAGCACCCAAATTAATTTATTTCTCTTTCATGCCATTCTGTAAAACATGGTAAAGTACATCCACCTTGTTTTATTCATCCTCTGTTCTTCTAGGATAAAATAGAGCACGAGAAAGTGTAGAAGCAATGGAGTATATGGTTAAGTATAAAGTTTAGGCTACCAAGGCTCTCCTCCAGATCTGTTATTAATTATTGACTTCATAATATCTTGTAGTAGAGTGTCTGTGAATCTATTGACTGTTAAAAACTTCCTTCCAGGAAGCAGAATATTGGTGTGACCTCTGCTCTATATGAATTCTCTTTCTTGAAGGTCACCACAGGGAAACTGAGATATCTAGTAGAGTGATGGAAACTTGAGTAGGGAAAAAGTGACTGGTCAGATGTGTTGGTTGGAGTGATGGGGATACATTCCTACTACTGAAACTCATCAACAGTTAGGTTTGTTCCACAGCTATCCCATCCCTCTATCTTTTAGTAAAGTTAGAGCTATTATTTGTCCCCTACAACTCATGAAAACAAAAGACATGGGAGAAGGCATGGGCAAACCTATGGCTGATTCATGTTGATGTTTGGTAGATACCAATGCAATACTGTAAAGCAATTATCCTTCAATTAAAAATAAATTTAATAAAAAGACAGTGATTTAAATGTTGAGATGTGTGTGCCTTCAGACACTATGAAGCAGAGGAGGACTTACATGATTTCTGCCAGTCTGAGACTTTTTCTCATAAATAAAGCTCATATAAAAGCTAGTTTGTAAGGACAAAGCTGTGTTCCCTACTAATGAAATTTTCTTCTGTTCTCACAGATTTCCAAAGTTGAGACTAGAAAGCTGGCTATAAAGGACTCCTTAGTGATTGAATTTATTCTTGCTGGATTAACAGGCCATCCAGCAACCCCTCTATTACCTGTTTCTAATGATCTATGTTGTCGCCATGGTTGGCAACCTAGGCTTGATCCTTCTTACTGGTCTAAATTCTCACCTTCACACCCCCATGTACTATTTCCTTTTCAACCTGTCCTTCATTGATCTCTGTTACTCTTCTGTTTTCGCCCCCAAGATGCTGATGAACTATGTCTTCAGGAAGAATACCATCTCGTTTGTGGGGTGCATGACTCAGCTGTTTTTCTTTGTCTTTTTTGTCATCTCTGAGAGCTATATGTTGATCTCAATGGCCTATGATTGCTATGTGGCCATCTGTAATCCCTTGCTGTATAAGGTCCATGTCCCATCAGGTCTCTTTGGTGCTCTGTTTGGCTGCATATGTGATGGGATTTGCTGGAGTGTTTGCCCACACAGGGTGCATGCTTAGACTAACCTTCTGCAATGTTAATGTCATCAACCATTACTTGTGTGACATCCTCCCACTCCTCCAACTCTCTTGTACCAGCACCTATGTCAATGAGGTGGTGGTTCTCATTGTCGTGGGTATTAACATCACAATACCCAGTTTCACCATCCTGATTTCTTAAATATCCATATATTACTTTACAATATATTCTTGTTCCTTGTCTGTTTTATGTAGTGGTTTGTATGTCTTAGTCCCATGAATGCAATTTGCCCCTCCCTCCTTCCCTCTCAGCTCGTGCCTCCCCTGACAGTTCCCAAGTAGACACCAGGTAACCAGGGAGCCACTGATACAGCCCACAAAAGCCAACCTTCAGGGAGGGGTCCAGAGAAAGTTGCAGAGAAAAGGAGTGGGGATCTGAAGGAGCTGATGGGGAAGGTCCAGCAAAGTTTGCTTACTAGTGAACAACTTTTGAAACTGGGGACTTTCCCAAATGCTTCTGTTATATCTGAAATATCTAATAATACATATGCATTTATTATTTTAGTATTGAGGGTTTTTCTTTTCTTTTTTGGTGGTGGTGGTGGGATAATGGATTTTCCCTTTGATTTGCTTTTCTCTGTTAAAATGACTTCATAAAGTTCTTTAAAATGTAATATGTAAAAAACAACAAACATTATTCTCAATAGTAAAAAACAGAAAACATTTCTTCTAAGATCAGGAACAAGAGAAGACAATTACAATTAGTAGCCACTTTAACCACTGTTATTCAACAAAGTTTTGGAAGTCCTATACATGGCAATCAGGGAAGAAAAAAAATAAAATGGATCTACATTGGAAAACAAGAAGTAAAACTCTTACTCTTTGCAAATAAGATACCATCAGAAAATTACTAGAGCTAGTCAATGAATTTAGTAAAGTTACAGGATACAAAATCAATACACAGAAATCCCCTGCATCTATACACTAATAACAAAAAATCAGAAAGAAAAATTAAGGAAAAATCCCACTCACCATTGCAACAAAAAGAATAAAATACTTAGGAATAAACCTACCTAAGGAGACAAAAGACCTGCATGCAGAAAACTGTAAGATATCAATGAAAGACGACACAAAGCAGATGAAGAGATATATCATGTTCTTGGATTGGAAGAATCAATATTGTGAAAATTAATATACTACCTAAAACAGTCTATAGAGTCAATGAAATTCTGTCGAATTACCAATGACATTTTTCACAGAACTAGAGCAAAAAATTTCACAATTTTATGGAAACACAAAAGACCTCAAACAGCCCAAACAATCTCGAGAAAGAAAAGTAGAACAGGAGGAATCAACCTTTCTCCCTAAGATCTCAAATGGCCAAAGCAATCTCAATGAAGAAACTGGAGGAAGCAAACTTCCTCCCTTCATAACATACTACAAAGTCACAGTGATCAAGACAGTATAGTACTGGCACAAAAACAGAAATATAGACAAACAGATCAAGCTAGAAAACCCAGAGATAAACTGACACACCTATGGGCACCTTATCTTTGACAAAAGAGGCAAGCATATACTATACAGTGGAGAAAAGACAGTTTCTTCAATAAGTGGTGCTGGGAAAACTGGACAGCTACATGTAAAAATGAAATGAGAACACTTCCTAACACCATACACAAAAAGAAAATCAAATTAAAGACCTAAATGTAAGGTCAGAAACTATAAAACTCAGAAAATGTAGGCAGAACACTTTGACATAAATCACAGCAAGATCCTCTTTTACCCCCTCTTTTATCCTAGATTAGTGGAAATAAAAACAAAAATTTTTAATGGGATTTAATTAAGCTTAAAAGCTTTTGAACAGCAAAGAAAACTATAAACAAAATGAAAAGACAACCCTCAGAATGGGAAATAATATTGCAAATGAGACAACTGACAAAATATTAATCTTAAAAATACATAAGCAGCTCATGCAGCTCACCGTCAGAAAAATAGACAACCCCACCAAAATATGGGCAGGAGACCTAAACAGACATTCCTCCAAAGAAGACATACAGATGGCCAATAAACACATGAAAAAAATACTCAACATAAGTCATTATTAGAGATATGAACATCAAAACTACAGTGAGGTATCACCTCACACCAATCAGAATGTTCATCATCAAAATCTACAAACAAAAATTGCTGGAAAGGATGTGGAGAAAAGGAAAAACCTCTTGCACAGTTGGTGGCAACATGAATTGATATAGCCTCTATGGAGAACAGTATGCAGATTTCTTTAAAAACTGGGGAAAAAGCAACCTTGTGGATACATGGATGCTAAGTCACTTCAGTTGTGTCTGACTCTCTGTGACCCTATGAACTGTAGCCCACCAGATCCCTCTGTCCATGGGATTCACCAGGCAAGAACATTGGAACAGGTTACTATGTCCTCCTCAGGGTATCTCCCAGACCCAGGGATTGAACCTACATCTATGTCTCCTGCATTGGCAGGCAGGCAGGCAGGTTCTTTACAACTGACTCAGCAATCCAATGACTGGGAATGTACCCTGAGAAAACCATAATTGAAAAAGACATGGGGGAGGCCCTAAGATGGCGGAGGAATAGGACAGGGAGACCACTTTCTCCCCCACAAATTTATCAAAAGATCATTTGAATGCTGAGCAACTTCCACAAAACAACTTCTGAATGCTGGCGGAGGACACCAGGCACCCAGAAAGGCAGCCCATTATCTTCGAAAGGAGGTAGGACAAAATATAAAAGACAAAAAGAGAGACAAAAGAGTTAGGGACAGAGACCTGTCCCGGGGAGAGAGTCATGAATGAGGAGAAGTTTCCAAACACCAGGAAACCCTCTCAACAGCGCGTGTGTGGGAAGTTCTGGAATCTCAGAGGGCAACATAACCTGGAGGAAAGGAAAAAAAAAAAAAAAACACCCAGAATACGTCCCTTAACCACAGCTCCCAGCGGATAAATAGTCCAGACTCTCGTGTTTGTCACCAGCAAGCGGGGGAGGTGTGGGGTGCATGCTTAGGGTAAGGACCGGGCCTGAATGTCCTGAGGACAATCTGAAGGAGCTAACTGTGACATAGCAATCCAAACTGCAGGATAGCTCAAGAGAAAAAAAGAGAGAGAGAGAGAACTTTCCCGCAAAAAAAGCTCTAACCTAAGGCACAGCCTGGCTGGTTACAGAACAAAGGATTGAGCGAAAACCAGAGGAGAGCTAGCTGGCTACAGCCCAGCCCATCCCCCCGCCAGAGTTAGTTTATAATTTTTGTGATTGATTTTTTTTTTTTTTTTGTATTTTTAACTTTGTATTTTTGAGAATCTAACCTCTACTCTAGATTTTTAATTTTTGCTTTTTTGTATGTATTATCAATTTTGTACCTTTAAGAATCTAATTTTCAGTACCCATTTTTACTTTGGGGTGTGATTACTGGCCTGATTGCTCTCTCCCCTTTTGACTCTCGCTTTTCTCCCCCCTATAGAGATAGGTCACCTCTATCTCCTCCCTCCCCCTTCTCTTCTCTACCTAACTCTGTGACTCTCTCTGAGTATTCTGGGCTGTGGTGAACATTTAGGGTACTGAATACTTGCTAGATTGGTCTCCCCCCTTTTGATTGCCCCTCTTCTCCGCCTGGTCACCTCCATCTCCCTTCTCCCTCTTCTATTCTCTATGTAACTCCATGAACCTCTCTGGGTGTTCCAGACTGTGGAGAGCACATAGGAAGTTGATTACTGGCTAGATTGCTCTTTCCCTTTTTGATTTCCCCTCCTCTCCTCCTGGTCACCTCTATATCCCTCTTCCCTCTTCTCTTCTCCATGTAACTCTATGAACCTCTCTGGCTGTCCCTCACTGTGGAGAATCTTTTCACCATTAACCTAGATGTTTTATCATCAGTGCTGTATGGATGGAGAAGTCTTGAGGTTACTGTAAGAATAAGACTGAAAGCCAGAGGCAGGAGGCTTAAATCCAAACTTGAGAACACCAGAGAATGCCTGACTCCAGGGAACATTAATCAACAAAAGCTCATCCAAAAGCCTCCATACCTATGCTGAAACCAAGCTCCACCCAAGAGCCAACAAATTCCAGAGCAAGATATAACACGCTAATTCTCCAACAATGCAGGAACATAGCCCTGAGCATTAAAATACAGGCTGCCCAAAGTCACACCAAACCAATAGACACCTCAAAACTCACTACTGGACACTTCATTTCACTCCAGAGAGAAGAGATCCAGGTCCACCCACCAGAACATTGACACAAGCTTCCCCAACCAGGAAACCTTGACAAGCCACTAGTCCAACCCCACCCACAGGGAGCAACCTCCACAATAAAAAGGAACCACAAACTTCCAGCATACAGAAAGGCCACCCCAAACATAGCAATGTAAACAAAATGAAAAGGCAGAGAAGTATTCAGCAGGTAAAGGAAAGTGGTAAATGCCCACCAAACCAAACCAAAGAAGAGGAGATAGGGAGTCTACCTGAAAAAGAATTCAGAATAATGATAGTAAAGATGATCCAAAATCTTGAAAGCAAAATGGGGTTACAGCTAAATAGACTAGAGACAGGGATTGAGAAGATGCAAGAAATGTTTAACAAGGACCTAGAAGAAATTTTTAAAAGTCAATCAATAATGAATAATGCAATAACTGAGATCAAAAGCACTCTGGAGGAAACCGACAGTAGAAAAACGGAGGCAAAATATAGGATAAGTGAGGTAGAAGATAGAAATAGAAAAGGTGGAAATAAATGAAGCAGAGAAGAAAAAGGAAGTAAAAGAAATGAGGGCAACCTCAGAGAACTCTGGGACAATGTTAAATGCCCCAACTTTTGAATCATAGAAATCCCAGAAGA